CTTAACAAATGTCTTACTTAGCAACATAAATTTTGGGATTAATTGTGGTCCTAAATCAAGGACTACCTGTATCCTGCATCATACAATTCTTTACAATATCCCTTCCTGTATCATTAATGCTTAAACTCTTCTACTCTGCCTCACTGCCCTGAAATCCGGGCAAGGTTTTGATAGTGGTGGCTTATGGGAAGATGCAGCAAACAACATGACTCATGGAGAAAGCTTCTTCATCATGAATAGCTTGAGGTTTTTGGCTTTATTTCTGCTGTCACATTAGATGAGAAGGAGGCAGATAAAAATCTGCAGGCACAGAACAAAGAGTTCCAGAAGCCAAATGACAACACTCCATCTTGAAAAGATTGACTAGGAGCTATCGAGAAGCTAAGGAACATGAAAAGAAGTCCAGGTCTGACTCCAAAACCAAGGGCATCATCTGCTATGTTTCTTGCAAACAAAAGATGCTAAGTTTGGTGCCTATCTGAAATAAGCACTTCTATAGCTGAACAGCTAGCTAGCTAATCCTCATTTTGTGTCTCTTCCCTTCTATAGCCTATGATGGCTATGTTGGTTTGCATCTCTGAGCTCTACAAACCAGAGGAACAGCTAATATGAATAGTAATTGACCATGGGAATTGTCTGCTAAAACAGTTGCTCTGTGTGTAGAAGAACCACTCCTGTTCAATTCATCCCGGTTCATTGGAAGGTTACACAAGAACAGTGAAGTAAGTACAGCAGCTGCTTGGGTAGCTACTGTGTGAATGAAAATGACTTGTTGAGTGCAATTAAGTGATAATTGTATGCCTCAGTGAGAACCACAAAGATGCCAAGATTGTCAGCTTGCACCTTCCCATCCAGCTAATCTAACCCAGATGTTTATATGCTTCATTAATGAGATCTGAGCTGCTAATGGTAGGCCACAAAAGGGATCCTGGGTCATGGTGGACAGCTCAGAGAAAATATTCAAATATGAAGCTACTTGGGGGTGGGAGGGTGGGGGAACCTGTTTGGAAACTAGAATGTGAACTGAAAATAGAACTGCTAGTATAATAATGTCCTTTATCAATGACAGAGTATTGGTTACCATTATTATTTTTACTACAAAGAAAAGTGCCCCATTTACAGACTAACTAAATAATGTAGATGCTGGAGAAACTCTCCTAAAATGAAAGACCCAAGCAATTGGGGCTTTATAACTTGGAGTGAAGTAGAGAAAAACGTGAGATGGATGGCATAAAATAGTATGGACAGAAAGAATTGTTTCTGCTTCAAAAACAATGGTAGAACATGAGAAGAAAATACTTTTTCACATCACATATTTAAACTGTGACAACAGTAAATCTGAGTGATTTTAAAGAGAATCGGACGGGTTCATGGAGGATCGAGCTATCAGTGGCTACAAATTCTGATGGTGATTTCCTGCCCTCTGCATCATAGGCAGTATCCCTAAAATACTGAGGGAGACAGAAGGGTCCTCCTGTCCAGGTCAGTGAGCATCCCAAGTGCACCCAGTTAGCCCCTGTGTGTAACGGAGCGCTGGACTAGACTAGATAGGATTGTAGCTCAATCCACCATAGATTGGAAATTCATGTCAACAATGACCTTCAATCTTCTGCCCCCAAATCAGTTGTTTAATGTTATCAGTTGTGATCTCTAAGGTCATTTGTTAGATTACATCAGGAGACAGTTCATTTTGGACAGTACTGGTCTTCTTCTCTCCCACCACCCACAGCCTCTTGGACCGCAAACTGATTCATCCTAGCAATTTGCCTCCTGGCCTTCAAGCATCACATAAAGAAGAAAAAAAGAAGAAGAGGCGTATTACCCATAAAACCATCCAAGTCACCTTTATTAAAAATTTAATAAATCAGCAAAATGAATAAAAACAGAAGAACATGGCATGGTTTTGTGCAAAATTTTCTATTTATTAGTTATATGTGTAGATGCTGATTTAGAAACAATTACCATAATTGCAGTAGAAATGTAAATGTGAGGGAAATTGTAACTTGAAGTGTTACCTTTTGTCAGGTAAGGCTTTTATTTTTAGCAGTTCTTGCTCTTTACACCACCAGTCTTGAACTGTCTTTGTCCTTCTTTCACATTATATCTGTTTTTCCAATAACATACCTACAGTTCACATTATACCTTTGTGTAATGCATTATATTATAGAGAAGACTTCAGTATCTTGTTCAAATAAACAATAATCATATTTTTCCTGCCACTTTTATGTATAACTCAAGGTGACAAACATACCTAATATCCTGCCTCCTCTTTTCCCCACAATAGCACTGTGAGGTGGCTTGGGCTGGGCTGAGAAAGAGGGTGGGCTGGCCTAAAGTTACCCAGCCAGTTTTCATATCTCAGGGAAGCCTAAAAGTCCTGATTTCTATACCAGCACCTTAACCATTACACCAAACCAGCTCTTTATATTGGGATATTTAGTGAGGTATATTTGGATTTCTATGGCATTTGTTTTATTCGTCCACCTGGCTTTCTCCCCAAGCACTCAATCGTTTTAAAGACATTTGCACGGATATTCTAGAATCACAAGATGCTCTTATGGTATCCTACTACTTGTGATAATAATAATTTAAATAAATACAGACCAATGCAGACATACAAAAACAGGAAGAGCAATGAGACTTACCTTACTCCTTATCCTGTTGATCTACAAACCAAAGAAGTGTTTGTGTTTTCTGGGTACCCAAACAATTTCTCCCTGTGTAAAATATTGCTCAAATGTAGTGGTTCAGCCTGTATTTATCATAAGATTTCTGGTTCTTTTTTTCCCAGTCCTCATACTCATATACACGCCTATAAGAATACCTACATACTTGTTTCTCTGTGTGCACGTACAGATTTACAGGAGCATTTTTTAAAACAATGTGTGTTTATTTGTAGTTTATCCTCCCCTTGAGGATATGCAGGGAGAAATAATTTTTCTACCGTGATTATGAAAGGTGAAAAACAACCATGTAGAGGTAAGGCTTGACGTTAATTTCAAATAACCCCTTGATATTCTCAAAGCCTAAAATTCTTCTATAAAAAGTTAAATTTAAAATAGTGTAGGCACAGGTGTGAGGAATCCTTGTGCACCTTGTTCACATCTCAGGAATTTAGCAGAAGACTCAGAGAAGGGGGGGTCAGAAAGAAGAAAAGTGATCGAAGACATTGCAATCCCCTTTCCTTGTAAACACACCAGAGGTGGGTTTCAGCAAGTTCTGACCAGTTCTGGAGAACCGGTAGCAGAAATTTTGAGTAGTTCGGAGAACCGGTAGTAAAAATTCTGACTGGCTCTGCCCCCATCTATTCTCTGCCTCAGGAGTCCCAGCTGATCGGGAGGAAACGGAGATTTTGCAGTAACCTTCCCCTGGATTGGGGAGGGAATGGAGATTTTACAGTATCCTTCCCCTGCCACGCCCACCAAGCCACACCCACCAAGCAATGCCACGCCCACCAAGCCACACCCACAGAACCGGTATTTTAAAAAAAAATTGAAACCCACCACTGAAACTCACACTCACGCACACACGCATACATGATCAAAGTGCTACATTCTAGGTCTTTCTTCTTAAGCAGGTTACCACTGTAAAGAGAAAAACCAAACAAAAGCAGTCAAAAGAAAGAAAGAAATGTATTAGCTAATGAATAAAGGTTGTCAACAGCTTCTGTTCTATTAAATCCCAAAGAGGCATTGCTGGCTGTGTTTTGGCAAGTCTGTCCGGAAACAACCTTTAATAAGACAGCTCTTCAAAGCGAGGCAACTTCAGATATTGAATGATCCTCTAGTAGCCCTTTGGATAGAAGACTGCCTTTTGCAAAGGAAGAATCCACAGCTCCTGTTCCCAAAATGGTTTTTGATATTCGCTCACTCAGCCTGCAAAAGGAGTCAGCAGAATTTAGGACTGTAGGTAAGCTTTCTTTTAAGGTCTAATTTCTCACATTTCTGTACTCTGGTGTTCTATGTATTATTATTATTATTATGCATCAGGAACATATATAAACTAATTAAGTGAGGTAAAACCAAAACAAATTAAAATAAAGAATGCTCTTAAAAACAGCTGCTCTTTGCTTGATGCCTTCAAGTCAGTCTTGACTCGTGGCAGCAATTTTCTTGGTAAGATTTTAGAAGTGGTTTGCCCTTGCCTTCCTTTTCCTAGGGCCAAGAGAGTGGCTGGCCCAAGGTCACCCAGCTGGCTTCGTGCCTAAGGTAGGACTAGAACTCCCTGTCTCACAGTTTTTAGACTGGTGCCTTAACCACTACACTGAACTGGGTCTCTTGTTTTTGCAATTGCAGTCTGCAGTTTTCCACATTGCTTTCAGCCCCTGAGACCTGACATGGTGTCACTGAATGAAGTAAATAAGGAAACAAAAGAGAAGAAATATCTGGGAAATTAAGATAAGAGAGAAAGGACAGAAATGAAAGCATTCTTTCCTGTCTTAAGTGCATTTAAGGGCATTTTTCCTTATGACAGCCAGATTCATTGACTGAGCTGGCCCAGACTGATAGACATTGTAATCCACAATAGCTGGAGGATGTTGAGAAAAGCTGGTGCAAGGCAAGAGAAGGAACCCTGGTCGGAAAGACACTCCACCAGGTTGCAAATTAACAGAGGAAATGGTTCAAATGGTATGACCACGATTCAGCCCCCTTTTTAACTCAGTACTTTTTTATATATAGCCCATTCTGCTTAAAAGTGACTTAAAATCTGAGGTGTGAGTTGAATTAGCTTTGGATAAAAAGACTGAGAAACTTGGAGAGGGCCCATGGATTCTCCCTCTGGCAACTTGCACAAGGAGCTCTATCATCACTGCCACAGAAAGTTCAAACTTGTCTTGTTGATTTTCAAAGTTTGTTTTTTTAAAGGAAAACCTAACAATAAGGAAAGTAACCGGTTGGATAACATCAGTGGGTGGAACTAACTGTTAGCTCCCAGCCCAGCCCAGCCCAGCCCTAACCTACCCTGGCCAAGCCTTGCTTGTGCTCGCACCAACAGTTACTGAACAGTAGAGCTTAATCATTCCAGGTGTTTGCAGAAGGAAATAACTGCCCATCTGGTCGCTTTTGGGACTTCGAGAGCCCCAAGCTTAGGCACGTGGGAAATTCTCTCCGTCACCTCTGAGAGGATGCTGCAAGGAAACAAGAGGTCCAAGATGCCAAGCACTGTATGTCTTATCCATTCTCGTTCTTTCTCTCTCTCTTTCTCTCTCTCTCTCTCTCTTCTACTGCCTTTCCATTTTGATTAATAAGCCAACTTTAAGGCAGCTGGTGTTGAATTGTTCTAAGCAAGGGCAGGACAGCTTTATATTTTGGCTCTAGCTATTGTAAGCAGGATGGCATTTCAGTGCATATCCTGGTGCAGAAAGTATTAGTTTGCTTGGGAACAGGCAAGTCTTATAAATATCTGGTGAAAAAGTGTACAAATTGCATTTTGAAATACCCTTTATTGGGAGCCATCCCAGAATTATTTCAGAGCAAGAATCCTATATGTACAGAACGCTTGGTTGCCTAGCAAATTGGGGTAAACGGGGTATTTAAATAGTTTGCAACTTATGACCAGATCAACTAAGGCTTGAGCTCTCGTATAGGATGGACCCAGTGAGATGGTCCAAAGCATTTTGCTCTCCTCCCTATTTGTGGGTGATCTTGTTTAGAAATTCTGGTGCTGTGAACTTGAAACAAAAATTCAGAAATCCCACACAAGGCATAAATGGGCAGGCCCATCTCCATTTCCAAAATACAACTCCTTTGTGGTCAAATGAAATATGTTTCTTGGTATGGCAAGCATGCGTAGCGTACTAATGAAATTCACTGTTATGAAGTGTGGCATAATGGCCACTGTATCCGATGGGTCCAAAGGAATAGATAAATCTGCAGCAAGGAATGAGGCTCTCAGTGTCTATTAGCCATTGCAATCTAGTGTTTCCCCCTTGCAATGGCTTCAGCTTCCATAATTTCAAAACCAATTTAATGTTTCTTGTAGGTCAAATGTCACAGTCCTGGAAGTGCTGAGGAATAAATAAAAAGTAATGCCCCAGCTTCAAGCTTTGCTATTTGGGGGGTTGTTTGTCGTCTTTCTTCAGGTGAACATTAGAAATAGAGTTGGCAGTCCAATTTATTGTGTTTATAATGATGTCTGAGGAAATGCTGAGAGTCTATTTGAGAGAAATAAAGCACTGGACTTTTTACAGTTACAAATGACAAATAACTTCAGAACAGCTTCATCCACAGAGTTACAGCGAAGCATAGCAAAAATGTTCCACTTGATTGTAAAGAACATTACTGTAAAGTTCCTTAGCCTGGAAAACCATTTTTGTCATGAATAGCTCCATTTACTACAAATAAATAACTTGGGCAGGTAAAGATGTTTTATCTTTCTCAAGAAGTCAGCATTTCCTTTTAAGAGACGGAGTGTGACTATATATGCTAAGCCAGAATGGTAGCGATGGCGTGGGAACCTGAAGTGAGAAGGATGGCCTGGGTGGGAACTGCTGCTGAATTCCAAATACTCTCTGCAGATTTTGGAAAGCAATCCTCTCTTGTTCTCGTTTCCCAACCAACAAAACCAAGATACTAATGAAATATTTAATTGGCTGCTGTGAAGAAGAATAAGCGCTTTGCCTTATGGAATATGTGTGGGAAGAAGAATTTTGAAATACATAGCATGGAAATGTAATGAACAAGGCTTTTCACTTGGGTCTTTAGCTACACAACAGGATTCCCCCCCCCCTGCACCCTTTGGTTGTCAAATTAGAGCAACAGGGGAAAGAAGAGAAGCTTTTCCCTGTTTGTGGTACAGCTACAACTTATCTGCAAGAATAGACTGGCACACGTTGATGGCACACATTGATGAAGGAGACTATATTTCTTTTCGAGTTGTTATTTCTCAAAATTGCTTATGGTTGCACATGCTATAATTTAAATGAGTGCTGGAGGCTTTAAGGGTAGGCGTGGGTTTGAAGGACTTGTTCATTCTGTCTACATTCTTTCCAACCTGGCAACTTTTGATGCTCATCCTGAGCAAGGGCCTTTCCCGGTGAAGAATAGATTGGGCTAGCAGGATCAGGATCAGCTCATATGTAGAACTTCCATTTTTGTTCAGCTAGCAAAGGAAAAGTGGGATAAATGAGAGTTTTGTATTGTCTTCCTATGGGGAATTATTTTTTTAAAAATCAAGATACTTAAAAGCCAAATGTTCTTGAGAGGTTTTTTTCCCCCACTGAAATTTAAACGTTCTCTGGGCTGCCCCCAATTTGGAATCCCCAAACAACAGGGAAGGTGAGGGCCATGGCAGATTTCTATTGCCTGCCTATCAAGGTACTATTAAGAGTCCAGGTTTTTCATGTCATGCTCTAGTATTACATGTTCTGTACTCTATAGATCAGTGATGGCTAACCTTTTTGCTGTTGCGTGCCAAAAATGGGGGTTGCGTGGGGGAGAGGTCATACGCATGCGTGCCCACACCCATAATTCAATGCACTCCACCACCACCACCCGTGCATACACGTGTGACCCCCCTGTGCTCCCCCTGCTTTTGGCATGTGATGGCACGATGGGTCCGATAGGCCTGTTTTTTACCCTCCCCAGACTCCAGAGGCTTTCTAGGGGCCTGGGGAGGGCAAAAACAGCCTTCCCCACCAACCCAGAGGCCGTCCGGAGGCCAGAAATGGCCCATTTCCCAACTTCCGGTGGGCCCGGAAGGCCCGAAAATCAGGTGGCCGGCACACACATTCACACTGGAGCTGAGCTAGGGCAACACTCGTGTACCCACAGATATGGCTCTGTGTGCCACATGTGGCACGCGTGCCATAGGTTTGCCATTACGGCTATAGATAGTCTTTGATTTAGGACAGATTGTTTAGTGATAGTTGGAAGTTACAACCTGCTGGAAGAAAAGGGGATTTACAACCTGGATCCAAAGTACTGACGGTTGCCCCTCACTCATGGTCACGTGACTGCCCTTTTGGTGTTCAGCAACATGGCTGTATTAACAGCCATTTGCGGGGTTCTGTGGTCACATGACTAGTTATATGATTGTTTTGACAAAAACCAGCTCTTCTGGTTTTCAGCAAAACCAAGAACAATGGGTTTACTTAACAACTGTGGCGTTCGCTTAACTGCTGCCACAAAAAACATTGCCACGTGACAACCCATTTCATGACACTTACAACTTACAACCATAATGGGCAGGGTTCGTTACTATTGTAACTCCAGGACTGCCTGTATTCTGAACTTATCTTAACGCTTCAATCCTTACATTAGTGGAGACTCCAATGGGAAAGTGTCCATGGGATCTTTTGTGTTCTTATTCTTCCAGCCTGGAAGGAAAAATAACCTGTCACCTTACTGATGAGACTAAATCTCTAATGAACAAGATGAATAGAAATGCCTATCCCATGTTGTTGCTGTCCAGATGTGTTAGAATTACACAATTCCCAATTCTAGAGTCCTAAGGCATCTGGAGAGCAGTAGGCTGGGGATGTTTTGACAGGTCCTTTCAATTTCCTTCTGCTTATCTCAAGCTTCATATTTTTTTAAAAATAAATACCCAGTAGTCATTACCCATGCTAATTCATCACTTTTAATTTACATATCAATAATCTTCCTAATGCTTATTATCCTTCTGCCTTTAATCTTGTCTTGTTCTCTACTATTAACATTGTTCTGAGGGAACCCTAGTGCACATCACTGAAAATAGTGTGCCTAGAACATATGTACATATGCACATATGTACACCATCATGCCTTTCTCTTTTGGGGTAAGCAACACTACAAAAAGCGCAGAAATAGAGTAAGAAAAGTAAGCTTAAAAAATTAAAGGCATGAGATTAGACAATGAAAGGAACTGTAGCTAAATATAATATCTACAGCATCAGACACAATTCCTGTCCATATAAGCCATCCCTTACTTCTATCACATCCATATATGTATGTTGATTTCTTTAAACTTCTCACCTTTTGTTTTAGAGCAATTCAATTTCATCCAGCCTGACTGTCTCAGCCTTCTCCTTCCTCTCGACCATTCATATATATTTGTTTAGAGAATTGATCCTTGTTCATTCTTTCTATATGAAATCATACGTTTGTACTCAATCGTTACCGTAGAGCCCATTCATTGTTGCTCTCTTGATCTTTTCTTGTTTTATCATGCACGTTCTTAAGTTCTTCTCCCACTGCATGCAACTTATTTTTATGATTTTCCTGACATATTCGACTCTCATTCCACATGTTGGTGGACCAGAGCATGCTTTTATACTCAGCCATGTTTGCTTCTTTCAACAAACATTTGTCCCTTTCATCATATTCGTTAACTCTCTGTCAGCATTTGCACAACTTAAGATGTTTCCATGCATTTTCTTATCTTGAATAAATTTTCTACCAAGAAATACAAATTTATCAGCTTGTTCCACTTCCAAGTGCTTATTCCATTTCACCTGTCAAGCACAGCCTCCTAGAAATATATTTTTAATCCATGCTTCATCATCCTCATTGCATCAGACAATCTAACATTCTATTTGCTATGTATCCAACAATACAGCGTTGTCTCTCTATAAAGGTACCCCCTCATTTATGTCTTCAAGAGCACTCCACCAACTTCATCACAAACTTTCCTGCCATGTAGTCGTCCTTGACTTATGGCCACAATTGAGCCTAAAACTTCTGTTGCTAAGCAAGACAGTTTTGAAGTGAGTTTGCCACTCGCTTCACTTTAAGCGAATCACTGCAGTTCTTACGTTACTTACACAGTTGTTAAATGAATCTGCCTTCCCTATTGATTTTGCTTGCTAGAAGGTCGTAAAAGGGGATCGCATGACCCCAGGGCACTGCAGCAAGCATAAACAATGCCAGTTGCCAAGGGTCTGAATTTTGATCACACGACCACACAGATGCTGAAACAATCTTAAGTGTGAAAAACGGTCACAAGTCACTTTTTTCAGTGCTGTTGTAACTTCAAATGGTCACAGAATGAATGGTTGTAAGTCGAGGACTGCCTGTACTCACGATGATAACTTTGTTTTCTTCCCTGCTTATGTTGAACCATTCACTAAGCATTCCATTTAGTCCCACACTTGCTTTACTTTCTGCTCTCTTCTTACTCAGCAAGCAACAATCAACTCTATATTCATACGAAACATTACATAATTCAAGCTTCTTTGTCATACTCT